CCCCCCCCCCCCCGCAATGGTAGTACTCAATCTGTTTGGCAAAATGAACTATTAAGACATAATAATATAATTTTAGCATACCTATAATACCAATCTCAAGAAGTAGTAGAAATCTGCTATGTATTCAAGATGGATAGTGACTAATATTTATTTATATGTATTGATATGTAAGGGTGTAGGTATATACATATGTTCTATATAGCATGTTTATCTGTGTATTACGTGTACACTGTTGAGAGCAGGCAACAGAATTTCATTTTTAATGTGTCCCAGTATGCCCAAAGTAAAAAATGACAATAAAAGTTATCTTACCTTACCTTATCTTATCTTAAATACCAATATATAAATTTGGGCTCTCTAGAATACACTACATGCAGTGGTGTAGACAGGAAAGGAAATGTTACAGAATGTCTACACTATTTTAAATAAGTTTACATTTCTAGAACCAGGTAAAAATGATATTTCCAGGTGCTGAAGAGGCCTGAAGAAGTTATTTCTAGGTTGTATATGAAAATTTCCAGAGTGTGATGAGTTGGAGGGTAGAAAGTAGACAAATTACATAGAAGATCCCAAAAATTTCAAATCAGTCTGCTTGTCACATATGCCCTGGGTTCTTCTTTGGAAGAAGAGATGTCAAGAGATTAAGAATGGGGAACCAGGTTATCTGCTGTGACCCAGAGTTGAGGACATGGAGTGAAGGTTGTAGCAAAACCAATTGGGCAACATCTCGAGACTCTACAGCTCCAATCCTTAATCAGCTGTCCATGAGCGGAAGAACATCAGATTTCAGGGTTGGCACGCTAGGAGAAACAGCCTCCTTGGGACTGTAGGTCAGCATGCGCACCAGTTTGGCTAGGGCAGGGGTAGGTAACCTTGGCTCTTTTATGACTCGTGGACTTCAACTCCCAGAATTCCTGAGCCAGCCATGCTGGACTCGTTGAAGTCCACGAGTCATAAAAGAGCCAAGGTTGCCTACCTTTGGGCTAGGGGTAGAGGGTTGCTGGGACATTTATTGCACTCAGCTTCAGATGATTACTGGAAATAATACTTATTTAACAACTGCTACCATAATTTGTTTTCTTGGATGTACAGTATCAACTGCTGTGTAGACTGTGACCTCTTTCCTTGTCTGACCCTTCGTGTATCCCATATACGTTGTCCACAACTTACAACCACAACTGAGCCCAAAATTTCTGTTGCTAAGTAGGGCAGTTGTTAAGTGAGCTTTGCCCCACTTTATGACCTTTCTTGCCACATTTATACAGTCAGTCACTGCAGTTGTTAAGCTAGTAACACGATTGTTGAATCTGGCTTCCCCATTGATTTTGCTTATCAGAAGGTCACAAAAAGTGATCACGTGACCCTGGGATACTGCAACTGTCATAAATACATGCCAGTTGCCATGCGGGCGAATTTTGATCATGTGACCATGAGGAGTCTGCAATCGTAAGTGTGAAAAATGGCCATAAGTCACTTTTTTTCACTGCCATTGTAACTTCAAATGGTCACTAAACTAATTGTTGTAATTGAGGACTACCTGCATGTAATAACTTGGGACTCACAACTTGCCCAAATAACTCTTTGTCTATAGTTTCTCTGATTTACTAGGACTTATCCAACTATCCTTTTGATCCCTGGACCTCGATAGAACAGAACAACACAAGAACCAATAATTGAAGATGCACAGAAATATGTCCTGAATTAATTATTTGGCAGGAAAGAATTGCTTGACCAAGACGCAGTCTGCCTCAATATACAATATACAATGGTTTCCAGATATCAAAAAATGAAAGGCCATCTTTTAAGAATGTTGTAGTTTTATCCCACGTTATAAATCTAGCATAGAACAGGAGATAAATCAGACATCTTCAAAAATCCTTCCAATTCTATGGACCCACTGAGGCAGTAAGATGATATGGGGGAGCAAAGAACCAAAAGGATGACCAACTGGGGAAAGCTGGGAGAGAGAAAGTCCACTGCCCAGAAGGGTTTCTAACACCCATTTCATCCAGATAAGATAAACTTTGTTTTATTTTTGTAACTTTGAGGAACAATCGAGGGGTACCTGGTTTTAAAACAGCCAACAGAAAGCTCAGCTGCCTCCACATTTTTTAAATGACAGAAACCCAAAGACTGCATTTTAATGTAACGATATCATGCCAAGATCAAAGCAAAAAAGGGCCAATTCCCTAGCAACCAGAAATGCGAAAACGGCAAAATGCTACACACCAGCATTTACAAAGAAAGGTGGGGGGGGGGGAATCACAGCCTTTACTTGAGAACGCCAACAAGCCAACTGGGCACAAAGTACTCCAGACTTCACCACGCTTAATCGCGTCGGTGATCGGGAATGTTTTATTAAATGTCTGGCCGGGCTGAGTAGAGCAGAATCGTACAAAGAAGATTAAATTATTTTGGCTTCCCAAACCCTCCGCTTCGGTCTATCATCGGGGAGCAAGGCAGGCCCGCTAGGGCTCCATCGGCTCAAAGAAACCACGGGGGTGGGCGGAAAGGGGGGCGCGCGGGGGAAGGAAGTTGGAAGGTCCCTTGGCTAAAGATCTCTTGTTCCAAAAAAAAAGGGATTTTTACCCACACGGACGGCGCAATCCGTCCTGTTGGAAAGGCACAAGCACCGATTCCGGTGGAGGGAGGGAAACCCAGGGCTCCCCTTTCAAGACCTTAGCTGAAGCACGAGACCCGAGGGGAATCGAAGCAAGCAGCCGGCCTTCCATTACGGACAACAGGACCAGGACGCCGATCTGGATAACATCCGGAGGGATAGGAAGAGCAGCAGCAAAACTCTTCGGTGCAGCCTCCGGTTTGAGGAAGGGGCAAAGCAAAGACATGCAAAGTCAGGGACGGCCACCGCTCGAAGATGCCGAGGCCACGAAGGCGGCGGGCGAAAGCGCACCTGCTGGTAGTCGTCGTCCCTCGGGCGGAAAGCGTTGGGCACGGGTCGCAAGCTGAAGCTCAAATGGGGGAGCCCGTGCAGCCAGGACGTCCACCAGGGCGCGAGATACTCGGCCCGCGCCGCCAGCAACATCGCTCCCGTCGCTGCCGCCGCCGCCGCCGCCGCTACCGCACCGGGGCTCCGAAGCATCCGCTCGCGCCCGCTCGCGCTGGTCCACTCCGCAAGCTGACCGGGGCCCTGCCTCCCGCGTGCCGCTGAGCTCGTCCGCCAGGCCCCGCCCCCTTTTCTTTTCTTTTCTTTTCTTCGCGCGGCAAAGGGCGCGGAACCTTTTAAGGATTGGAGCCGACGCCCCCTGCAGGATGTCGGAGCCGGTGCTAAAAGGGTCCCCGGCTCGGTGCTCTTTTTTTTTTTTTTTTAATCTATCAGTCGGGGTCACAAAGGTTCAGTACGCCTTCAGTTTGTTTGCCCGTCTCCAGGCAAAAGGGAAGAAGGCTTCCCCTCCCCCCCCCCGCCTGGAAGGATGTTTCCCCCACCGCAGGGAAACCCACTCATGCCAAGCAAGCTATGGGGATCATACAGGAGTATTTCAAGTGAAGAACTGGGGCGGGGGGGGGGTTACTGCTCCTGCCACCTCCCCCTCTCTCTGAAGTAGAAAGCAGAATTTGAAACCATCAAATGGATCGCGTTTTTTTTTAAAAAAATATTTCATTCGAGGTAGTAAAACAAACAAGTTAGAATGTTTACAATATTAGTATTCACATTAACAAGTTATTTCAGTTTCCTAGTTAATGGATAACTGTCTGCGATGAAAAAAAATGGAGGAAAAATTATATTGACTTGGAATGCAGGGGGGATAATTTAATCATTCTTTAAAGGGCTCTGGCAAAAAAAAAACATTTTAATTCATTCAGGAATATGTTCTATTATCTGCAAAAATGTATACTTTGGTTAGCTTGTTCTGTCTTGATTCACTGTGTTGTCATAAACACCATAAAACCATGAAGGAAGGAAGATATATATACATGTAGTCCTCGACTTATAACCACAATTGAGCCCAAAATTCCCATTGCTAAATGAAACAACTGTCAAGTGAATTTTGCCTCATTTTATGACCTTTCTTGCCACAGTTGTTAAGTGAGTCACTCAGTTGTTAAGATAGTAATGTGGTTAAATGAATCTGGCGTCCCCATTGACTTTGCTTCTCAGAAGGTTCCAAAAGATGACCACATGACCCCAGGACACTGCAGCCGTCATAAATACATGCCAGGTGCCAAGCATCCAAATTTTGACAAGGTGACCAAGTGGATGTTGCAATGGACATAAGTATGAAAAACGGTCATAAGTCACTTTTTTCAGTGCTGTTGTATCTTTGAACAGTCACTAAAAGAATGGTTGTAAGTCGAGCACTATCTGTAAACCCTACACTCACCTTTTTCCATGAGGATTTACTCTGACCTCTTCCCCATCAAACCCAACTATTTTATCACACAGCTTGTCTGTGGTGTCAGCTCCAGCAACAAGACTGAACTATGGACAGAGATGCGTATAAAGGAAAAGGAAAAATTTGCAGATACAGCTAAACAACTTGTTTTCCCCTCTATGAACCAAGATAGAATAGATGCTGGTGATTCACCCTCTTCATATTCTTTGTTTGCCTCTGAACAGATAAGCAAGAGCTCAGGCTGATAGTATCCTTCAGTGGGTTTCACCAAAAGACTCCCAGTTGTATTTAATTATTTAAATTTTAAAAATTCCAAATGTAACACAATACAGATAATTTTTATGATTGCTATATGTCCTCTCTCTTCATGTCTAAAATGTGTGCTATGAAAATATCCCTGTAAGAGATAGATGATATGCAGCTTTCTATTCTGGGTCAGCATATGAAGTTTGGGTATGCAGCTCTTCCTTCTCTTTGATGGTGTTCACACGTAATGCTAAGCCATTTTTAGCATGATAAATATAAATAAATTTAATCTAACAATACTGTATAAAAAAAGGCATAGTAGCCTTCTTGAAACATTAAGGTGCAATGGATGGATCCATCATATTAAGCTAAAAGCCAAAACCTGGTGTATTGGGTGCACTTCAGCTTCTTTCTACAGGAATTTATTTATTTATTTTTTAATTTCAATGAATAATTTGCACAGGGTTTTAGCTGGATCTACATGTGTATACACTTATAGTTATGTGTAGTTATATGCATTTGTCAGTCAGGACAAACGTATCTACTTCTAAATCACTGACAGCATTATTTTTATGCACCATCAGTACACATAGGATTTTATAGAACTGTACAGCAGCAACAAGAGCCAGATGCTTAGCCGCCTCACAATAAATTTGAAGAGGAGAGTGAAGAATGAACCTAAAGCCTAGTCCTGCAGCCATCAAGGCTAGCACTATTTTCATTTCTATTGTAACTATATAAAATGAGATTTATTCTTCTATTTTATAATAAGTGAAAAGATAAATAAAAAATAGGAGATTTAAAAGAAACTACAAGAGACGTCTCTTTGCAAGAAGATACAATTTATGACAACAATCCTATTTGCTCATATACAGTAAACCAAGCTAACTCAAAGCTATTGCCAGAAGTAAAATAATAATCAGGGCTTATTGAAATGTGCTATGGACAAGAAGCTAAATTTTGTGTGTAGGACTGGGTTATTCTGCTCTGCAGTAATTGTAAAGCTGCCCTTTGGAAGCACTTTCCACTAAAGAAGGGTAATAATCTCATAACTTATTTAAGCACCATACATAAGTGATCTTTTGGGTCTAGTCTGTTCATCAAACAGTCAGCTCTTTCATCTATAGAAATTTAGCCAAAGGAGATGGAGAAGGGGCACAGAGTCAGCCATGGGGCAGAGTTACTATTGTCTGCTGCCATTCTGATATTCAGCAAAAACAAACGATGGTGAAATAATATTATGTCAATGGACACTAATGGAATGAGGAAAGCAGGAAAGGCCAATTCATTTTCATTTAAGCCATCTTCTTTCCTGCAGGAGATTTCTTTTTGATTTCTGGAAAAAGTACCTGTGAAAATGAATGCAAGCCAACACAACTTAGTTAAATCGACCTTAAGTGGTTTCTTGAGAGCTGCTCTTTTACTAGAGAGTACTTTCCTAAAAGGCTTGGCAACTGTGCAGTTCTCCGAGAATGGAATACCTGATCCTGCATGTTGGTTGATTATGTGCCATCAAGTCATTTTCGACTCCTAGCAGCCGCGTAGATTTTCTTCATGACAACCTATCTATCAGATCATGTAGGTGTTCCAATTGTGTACTCATCACTACCATAATGGTCCTTCTGGTCATCCTCTTCTTCTCTTTCCTTCCACCTTTCCCAGCATTAGTGCCTTCCCTAGAGAGCTAGGTTTTTGTATAATACAGTATGTCCGAAGGACAATAGTAAGAATTGTAATTTCTACTATCTAGTTTTATAGTAATCTAGTTTTAGAAATGTACACATTCACTGAAATTTATTTATTTTACAGGGCATATATGCTGCTTTACCATTGTGATTCTAAGCAACGTATAGAACAATAAGATCTAAGAACTCCCTGGATCCAAGGAGAAATGTCCTGACAGTGAGAATAATTAACCAGTGGAATAGCTTGCCTTCAGAAGTTGTAGGTGCTCTATCACTGGAGGTTTTTAGGAAGTGATTGGACAGCCATTTGTCTGAGATGGCGTAGGCTCTCCTGCTTGAGCAGGGGGTTGGACTAGAAGACCTCCAAGGTCCTTTCCAACTCTTGTTATTTTGCATTATACAACAGTATAAGCATAATAAGATAAAATAACATTGTAATAAATAACATCCCATGGGTTGAGGATCAATCATTATACCATCCTTATGTGAGAGCTTAAATGGCTCCCTTAGCTCCCTAAGACCCACTGACAGCCTGGTCTCAATAGCTTTGTGAAAAGGACCTATCAGGAGGAACACTGTTCTACAGAAGGAATCTGTAACTGAGAAAGTATAAATCTGAGATTCCTGCATAGAACATTCCTGTGGGGATAGGGCAGTGGTGGCGAACCTATGGCACGTGTGCCAGAGGCGGCACTTGGAGCCCTCTCTGTGGGCACACATGCCGTTGCCCCAGCCTCACTTCCCCCCCACGACCCCCTCCTCATCAGCAGCCCCCCTGGAGGAGAGTCGCCCCCGAGCGTGGCCCACACGGAGCAGCGCAGCCAAGGACATGGCAGCTAGGCAGTATAGACAAGACTCTGCCCTCATGCCCCATCCTGCACAGTTGATGCTGTGGGGCGTGGGCAGAGGGCGTGGCCATGGCGCTGCTGGGCTGTCTGGGCAATCTGTGGTGGGCCCTGGAGGTGGTGAGTGGCCCTGCAGGCAGGTGGGGTGGGGGATGGGGTGGGGGCGGGGCAGGGGGTGGGCCAGTTTTTGGGCACTCGGTCTCTAAAAAGTTCGCCATCACTGGGATAGGGCCTATGGGAACCATGTCGTCTGGGTCTCAGTGGAGAAACAGACTGGTGAGAGAAGCTGGTCCTGCAGATAGCCAGAACCTGAATGATGAAGATGTCCACTATCAAACTGAGTTGCCCTTGGAAACAAATGGTAGAACTCTTGAAGAAGTGTACATTGACATATTTTTTAAATCACAGTCTGAGATTGCATTTGGATTGGCTGCAGTTTCCAGGTAATCTTCAAGGGTAGTAAATCAGTGAGATAATAAATTAAGCCTGACTGATTCTCAAAAGGAGAGGAATAAACTTTTCCACTATGTAGCAGCACATATAAATCCTGGGATAGATTAATAGATCCAAATTGTAAAATGCTGCTGAATATTATCCTTAGCTATTGTACAACATGATTCAAGGAAGATAATTGAGTAAACCTGCTGTTTACATCAAAAACAAGCTTATTTGATAGATTATCAGATATGCGTTTCAGATCCCTGGATGCTTAATGATATCAAGGGACAGCTTGGCAAGGAAGAGTACGAATTACTTGTGACTCTGGGCAAGATCAGAGATTTTTGAATGTTATTAAACCAACATTCATTTTTTAAAATTACTCACTTTATTATTTTTGAACATCCAGGAAAAAAAGATTTAAATTATGCTTAAGAAGCAAGAGTCACAATTCATTTCCCTATATTATCTAAATAG